TCAACCCGTGTCTGACTGGTTGCTCCAGACCGTGGAGGATCATATCCTTGACTGCCGTTGGAGGATCACGACCCATGCGGAGTTCAAGGTGGAGGTCATTTTTTCAATAGCTCGGTATGGCGTGCACTGTCCATTCTCTTGGGAGAGATTAGTGGTCCCCGTAATGAGAAGATATGACGCCCTTCGGAGGATTGGGATCCTCTTGAGGTTCCTAAGGTTAAACCAGTTAAACCGGAACTTGTCTGAGACAGTCGATCATTTCTCTTATGGTGCGTCAGATGGGAAGAGTGGGGAATAGGGGTCGAATGAACCAATGATATGTAGATTATGACTTCTAGAGCCACTTGTCACAGCCCCGGCTTGTTCTGTACTTTACACAGTTGCCCTCGAGAAAGACCGGCACATGCGATGATCGACTCTGTTTCACTTCTCTGTTTGCTTCCAGATAGGGCAGGTGTCTGCTGAGTCAGAATCGACCTGCAAGTGAGGTAGACTTTGGTAAATTATCCGTTGCTTCTGTGTTAAAATCGACTTGGGGCTACCTTTGGCTTTTCGAATACGATGTCACAGAGACCCTCCGATCTCAACCCACGGCTCCACCGGGATCACCCATGGCACGGAGGGGGGCGATTGTATCTTGACCTGCTCTTGCGTTCTCTTGTACTGCGTATCCTCTGTTATTTAATTAAATTAGATTGTGTATATGCACTGATATCTGCTGGAACAATATCTATTTTATGATAGTACATGGTTATATAGGTCTCTAATTTCAAAGTAAAACTGTACCTGCTTTTCGCGGAGGGTTTAGTGAAATCATTACTTTTGATGTTTCATTCTCCGTATTTCTCCGCTCCCCGAATTCCACCGTCTCTCCTTTTTTTTCTTTTCTTTCCCTTTTTGCCTTTTTTCTTTTTCTTTTTCTTTCTATTTTTCATTTTCTGGATCAACTAAACCAAATTCAGAAAATGGCAAAAATATAAATTAATAAATTAAATTAAATTAGAGCTGAAAATAAAAATAAAATAATAAAAAACCCAAAACATAATATCGCATGTCATATCTGTCATTGATACTCCAGGCCTCAGCATTCCATCTACCACCATCCAAGTACTCTCCGGTTCCAACCCTCCGAAGTTTTTAAACATTAACATTAACATTAAGCCATTAGACTCTCGGGTGTCCATTACCATACTTCTTTTTCTGCAGGTTTTTCACTAGGGTATAAACTTGATACACCTATGTGCCGTGATATACAATGGAATATAATCAAAGTAATAATAGTAATGGATAAATCAATAATCACTAAATAATCTAATAATCTAAATAATCTAAATAATCCAATGATTATCACACTGTACCATGATTTTCCCTGTGGAGATATCACCACTCAGACCTTCTCTTCCCCCCCCCCTTCTTTTCTTACTTCCCCTCTCTCACACTTAATTAGCCAGGGTCCCCATTTAGGTACATAGTTATTCCTTTCCCTCCCTTCTCTCAGTGGATCCAAAAAAAAAAAAAGAAAAAGAAAAAGAAAGCTTGGGAATTGCCGCAACTCAAACCGTGGAACGGGTTTCCAGTAGATCCCCGTCTTTTTTTTCTGATCGCAACCTGTTGACTCGCTGACTTGACTTGGGAAGGCCCGTGCTTCTCGCTGGCCGATCACGATCCCTGGGAATTTCTCCAACTGAGGGGTCCCAACTCAAAAACCTCTCCTTCTTCTCCATACCCTGGTCGATCTCTTAGCTTAATTCTTTTTCCTTTTTTTTTTCCTTTTTAGCACCTTTGGACCATTTGATCGGGGAATATATCACTCGCAAAACGCCCGGGGGGTTGCACCTGGGATTGTATCTCTTTCACACTTTACATCATGGTGAACGGGACCGCCGCCGTGTTGGAGCCCACATTCACCGGGTATGTCGCAACCACTCAGGACGCCCTGATCCTCTTCGAGGCATGCTTGACCGGTGTCTTGCATCACGTTCCGCGACGCCCTCACGACAGAGAACGGAGTCATCTCGTGCGCAGTGGCAGCGTCTTCATCTATGAGGAGAATGCATCCGGCATCAAACGCTGGACCGATGGAGTCACCTGGAGTCCCAGTCGCATTTTGGGCAACTTCCTCGTTTACCGTGAGCTAGACAAGCCATTTCCTCCTGGGGAGAAGAAGCGCGCCATGAAGAAAGCCACTCGACGACCAGTGCCAGCTGGACGGCCGGGTGAACCTTATCCGCGACACGATACCAGCCAGGGCTATTCTCCAACATCTCCCAGCTCGGGCCCCTTCGCAGACCGTTCCTCCCATCAATCGGAGCTCGAGCGGGCATTGGTTGGGTCCCTGGTTGATTCGTACGGCTTCAAGGATTCCGGGTTGGTCAAGAAGACAATGAGCGTGACGGTTTTGGGCGTGACCCACCATTTGGTCTCATATTACAGTGTGGAGGACGTGATGCGCGGCATCCTCAACCCACCCTCGATGGTGGATTCCCTACGCTTTATCCGCCCCCGCACAGAACTCACCCAGAAACAAAGCTTCCGTTCCCCGATCGACGAGCTAGAGGCCAACGCCGTGGAAAACCAGGAGCCCTCCCACGCCGCTCTGTACGGATATCGCCCGCAAATGATGGCCCCACCCTCTTACGCCATGCCAAATCCTTCAACCGACTTCTACATGCACCCCACTCCCTATACCGCCACACATCCCCCTCAACAAGGCCCAATCCAGGGATACTCAATGGGCGCGCCGATGGCAAGCCAATCCGCGCCAAATCCCTACCTGCCAAATCCAGGGCAATCCGCCATCCCCCCAAAGCAGGACGACTACCACTCATTCCGCGCAGGACCCTACGGCGGCAGTATGGACTCAATGAGCGCACACAGCATGGCCTCAATTCCAGGCGGTATCAACGCAGGACTCCCCAGCTCCCTCAACGAACGCAACAGATCAACCTCGGAACACAGCCCTTCCGCCTACCGTAACTCTTCCATCTCTTCGCGCAGCCAAGCAACGGACGCTACTTCCCCAATGGATCCTTCTACCCCGGCGACCTACTCCCGCAGCAGCTTCAGCATGTCCGGCCAGATGGAAAACCCTCATCCAGCGCTCGATCGCAATATACCTGGTCTCGATCCTAACATTCCTCGTCGCGAATCAAATCCCATCCATCCGTCCTACTACGCTACGGATCGCCCCCAGTACTACGTACCCGCGCCTTATGCTCCCACGCAACCCATGTCAACATGGACGACTACGGCAGCGACGCAACCTCAAATGGCGCAACCTCAAATCTAAATCTCTCGATACCTTTCCGTGTCTTTAGTGTTGCTTATGGCCATGGAGCGTGGGAGTCGGGGCGGAATTTTGTTTCTTTTCTTTTTATGTTGATCAATGATCACCTTACTCATGTTTTTGCCTGGAGATAGACACTTCATGCTTCTGTTATGTTTGGGAGGGAAACGCCGTTTTATTGCTACAATATGTACCTGACAGCGGCTGTACTCGTCTCTTTGTCTCTTGTCTATATGGTTATGGTCTCTTGCTTTATGGTTACGGCGGTGGCTCTTTGTTTTTGCCTGCTTTTTACTGTCTTAGCTTTTACTTTTTACCCCCTTTTGCCTTTTTTTTTTCTCTTTCGGTGGCTCTCTGATATGGATCCTGTTATGGGAATCCGGGTGGGTGGCGTTCTTTTATTCTTCACGATGTCATGCAACAACCCGATAACCCCAAAACGGCTCTACTATTTTTATTACTACTTCTTTTATTTCTTACCTTTTGACTCTGGTTCCTACTTTTTACTCTCTTGCTCTCCCATACTCTATATTCAGTTCGCTGCTTGGCAGCGGTCTTCCCTGTATGTCTGTCTGCGATCACAAACGGCGTCCAAACGTTTCTTTTCCAACATCTGGTCTGGGCGGGTTCCTGTTCTTGATTCTCGATTCCCTGTTCTATCCAGTTCCTCGGGGGACAGGATTTGGTGATTCCCATCTCATTCCTTGGTCAATGGTCAAAGATTGCTTGAATACGTCCCTTTCTTCCTTTTCTTGGTTTTGGTTCTGGGGGGGGTGGCTATTACCAATATGTGCGTGTACTTCATACTCGATTCCCGTCTATAGTATGGATTATAGGCTTGTGCGCTACTGGTGGCATTTTTGATATTCATAATTCCCCAATTCCAATATTAGCTGCTTCTGTCAGACTATGTTCTTTCTAATTGTTATACTCTATACTGTATATTCCATGCTTTACCGTCTCTCTATCCTTCCCTCTGAACATTTGTTAGCACGGCAGATATGGTATGGTTTATAAGATCAAGACGGATGTTGTCAACCTATATTCGGTCTTGGGGGTTTTGTGCTGTTTAACTGACTACTAGTATATGGTAAATCATAATATATCTCCTCTCTTCTGGCTCTGGAAGGTATGCTTACTTTGTTGGCCTCAATGTTGGTCTGGTACTATATATATTGTTAAAGTACACTCTTCAAATCACATCCATAGTCCTCGGGACTAAATAGAAACACATACATAGGTAACTATATCGGGTGTGTATATAGATATTATTATAGTTTCCTAGTATTTCTAGAAAATATAGAATCAAATCCATAAATTCATAATCAAGGATTATTTATACACCTTCAGCAGTAGCAGATCAGACCTACCCTGAACTCATATATCGACAATGGGTATTTCAATTAGCCAAACACTGGCACCCAATGATATACTTGAAGAAACATTAGCAAAACATAAACAAGTACACACAGGCAGCGAATATAGACTCGCCAAAACAGAAATGTAAACATCCCAAACATACACCCTTGACCCTGGGTCCAAACCAAGACAGAAACCTAATAACACAAAAGAGAAGCGTATCAAGTCTAGTTAAATAAGAAGAATACTAGATACGTCACACAGCGCATCTTATCAAGACGAAAGACCAGATGAAAGACCTAAGGAGAACCACACAAAAACATGAAAACAAAAAAAAAAAAAAAAAAATAACCCCCTACCTTCCATTTAACCCAGAAACCAAAGACCCCGAAAGTGGCGAGTTAACCAAACTCATAACCTTCGCATGCCCACGAGTCTCACCACCAGAACGCACCCGCCCAGCCATAGACGAAGCACCACCAACCGAATCCCTTCTGACACGCCGCAACATCTGATACTCCTTATCACCCCCATCCCTATCCCCACCCCCCTCCGCAATCTCCGAAACAGCACGGCCCCACTGGAAACGCGCGTCCGTGTGCGGGATCATCGAATCTGTCAGGCTTGGCGAGGAGTTCGTGGATGTGTTATTTGATGCGCCGCTCGCTGTGTGTGTGGGGAATTCCCGCGCTTGCGTGCGTCGGAGGCTTGGTGTGCGGCGTGGGAGTTGGGGGGAAGGGCCTGGGTTTGGTCGTGCCAGGTTGGTGGGGTGGGTGGTGGTTGCGGGGTCGAGATGGAGGTGGAGGGTAAGAGGGATGGTCATTGCGGCTGTTTGGGGGTTGGTGGGGGGTGTTGGTGCTAGGTGAGGGTGAGGGTGAGGGTGAGGGTGAGGGTGGGAGGGTTGGGGGGAGGAGTAGCCTTGGCCTTGGTTTTGATTTTGGTTTTGATTTTGGGTCTGGGAAGATACCTGCCGAGGGCGGGATTGGGTTTCTTCCACCCTTGGCTGGGTGATCCAGAGGTTTTGTAGGGTTGTCTGAAGGAGGTTGTTCTGCAGGGAGAGGCTGTTGTTCTGCAGAGCCAGGTTGTGGGTTTGCAGTTGTTGTTGGTATGGGATTGGGTTGAGAGGCCCGTACTGCCCTGGGTAGGTGCCCTGAAAGTGATTGTCAGGGATGCCGGTTTCAGTTGGGATTTGGATCTGAGAGTATCTTTTTAGTTTCGGCTTACTTCATATCCATTGAGGGATTCATTGGTCTCTTGATTGGTGAACATACCTGACGGCTGAACTTCCTTCCTGGCATCGCGATGTACTCATCGAACATGCTACCGAGTTCTGCAAAGTTGAACCCGCGCACCGGGTCCACGGGTTCGAACCGCTGTCCGACTTCTTGTTGGAAATTGACACCTCGGCGCGGCAAAGGTTGGTACTCGGGCAGTTTCAGCATTAAGGATGGGTAACTGCCAATCATCGCGTCGATGACGGGGTCCACGTCGATCGATAGGGAAATCTTGCTGCTTGCAGTGGGTTTCTGGATCAACATGACAAAGGTGAACTCGCGCGGCAGACCGGATCGCTGCACATTGTTCTCCTCCATGGACCAGACGATTTTGCCAGCTTCGACATTGAATTCGCGGCCAGCTGGATTTTTCAAAGTACGTGCAGAGCCTTGAATGCGCATCATCTCGTACCGCTTGTATCGGCCGTTGAAGCTCCCCGAGGGAATTACGCTTGCGCTGACAGGCAGTTCTGAGATTCCGAGGGACCCAGCCAGACTGAATGTCCACTCCATGGTCTCGGGGGAAACGGTCCCGTAGATCAGGTGCGGCGCATGCATAAGGAAGCGTGGGCTACCAGGCGGATATCCATAAGGGTACGACTTCGAACTTGAAAGATGACGGTTTCCACGAACTGATACACTAATAGTGGCGGACTTGATGCGGTGCGTGATAGTGTGCGGGGAATGAAAGGTGAATGCAAGGGCGAGAAAATCTACGTGTTCGGCGTCCTCATCTGAGACAGCTGCGCTAGAGTAATAGCCATGCTGGAGGCGCTGGACATAGGCAGTGATATAAGCATCGCCGGGCAGTCGCCGCTCATAAATGAGAGCGCGGTTTATAGTTAGGCGTGGATTTGCCGTGTTTGGATCCGGTGGTTCTTTTTCTTTGGCTGATGGTGAATTGCGGATTGGAGTTAACGAGCGTGAGTCCGAGGCACGTCCGTTTTGAACAAAAGTAAACGACATCGTGGCGACCGCAAAGCGACAAGACCGCAGTTTCGTTCTGGCAGGCTTGTCTCGCTCCCCATCTAGTTCCAGAGTCCTAGATGCCGACGCGGATAATTTAGCTTAACCTGCATGGCATATTGTCCTATATAGACTTTTAACTGACTATAAGTTAGCGTTTGTGTACAATGATGTTATTCATCACCTGGGGCTCCAGGTCACAGGAGTCGTAGAGGCTATCAGGTGAGCATGGGCTTGATCATCATGATCACCGCGAGGCGACCCCTGAAAATGGGGACCTAGAGGTAATATGGTCATTTATATAGATCTGAAATTCAACAGAGGCAGACATGTTGTCATAGTAAATTCTATATATGAATCTAAGAGCAGACAGGAGGATAGTTTGTTGCATGTGGAGGATATAGAAACGGGCGGATAAACAATTTATCCGACCAGAAACTCATCGCCGAGGTGCTGTCTCCAATGTTCACCTAACCTCAGGCGACCGTGATCTAGAGCTTTTGGTTCTAGGTCATTAAATTTCTGGTAGAACTGATCTATACATTGGTTTTTCTAATATGTATGTCGCGTTCAGCCAAATTGCCTCGAATTCCGACATATCCAGCTAACAATCCCTAGATTGTGTTTGTACTATATAGCATTCTGTCTTTGTATTTGCATTGCTTGCATTATCAGCTTATCTTTTGTTTTATTTTCAGTTGGGAGTTTGAATTTGCAGGTTTACCAGAGACTGTGCGACGCGACAGCCTCCGTTGGTCGGTCCCCTGGTTTATCACTTGGACCGAATCACCATTGCATAGCCCAAAAACGACCGGGTATACACAGTTGCAGCTCGCAATTGAAAACTTGTGATTATCGGTGTCGCCGGTCAATTTTTGGGTTTCTACCGACACCTGCCGTTGTCACCTTTGTGTTGGTGTCACCATGATTGGCTCATGCGCAGCTCAGTTGTCCCTTCGGGCGAGCCGGCAGGGATCCCAAGTGCTGTTCAAGAACACACGTCTTGCTGTTCGGTCAAATGTGTTCAAGACTGAAGCTCTTCAGAGAGATGGGTTCCGGTGTATATCTACATCAGTCCAGTCGACATTGAACCGATTACCAACCGGGTATGGTTGTCTGCCGCTTCTTCATTTATGCATTTCTAATAATCCACAGAGGATTGAAACCCCGCTGTTTGCAGACCAAAATGATCCCACCATCATTCTTCACTCAGCAAAGATGGTCCGGGTCAAAATCGCCCGAAAACAAAACCCCTGAACAGTAGGTTTACAGCCTCCAAGCAGACATACCCAACATCCAAATGGGACATTGTCCAAGCGAAGCAGCAACTAACGAAGCGTAGACCCGAGGAATCCAAGAAAACTCCTATTCTATCGCGGATTTCCCTCCCAACTTCCCACGAGAATATCTACACTGTGCCCAACATTCTCACCTTCTCCCGGCTACTCGCCGCCCCTGTGGTCGGTTATCTGCTAGTCCATAACTACCACACTGCAGCGCTATCCCTGTTTGCCTATGCAGGTATCACCGATCTCGTTGATGGTTACATCGCCCGGCGGTATAACCTTCAGACAGTGGTTGGAACCATCATTGATCCCATGGCCGATAAGCTATTGATGACCATCGGTGTTGCATGTCTGGCTGTGAATGGCTCCCTTCCTGGTAAGTGTGCTCGTATTGATCGCTTGGTGGTATGCGGACATGGACATGGACATACATTGACGTATTGAAATAGTCTGGCTCGCCGTGATCATCCTCGGTCGGGATGTCGGTCTGGCCATCTCGGCTATCTATTACCGTTGGATCTCGCTGCCTGAGCCTAAGACTATGGCCCGGTACTGGGATTTCTCGCTTCCCTCGGCTGAAGTCAAGCCCACTGAGATCTCCAAGATCAATACTGCTCTGCAGTTGGTGTTGGTGGGTAGCGCCATTGCGCTCCCTGTGGTCCCGGAGGCGTTTGTCAGTGCTTGGCATTTGAGCGAGGCTATGACTGGATTCCAGTAAGTTCGACCTCTTCTTGTTTTATACCCACTTTTTGTTTCCTTTTCCCCTTTTCTTTCCCTTTTTTTTTGTTTTTGTTTTATCATGGAAGATCAGTTCGCCATTGTTCGCCCTAAGGCACATTGAGGGATCTTTCCAGCACATACGACCATAGGGTGTGGAAAACAGGGCTTCCCGTCCGCTCAGCCGTACTTAAGCCACACGCCGGTGAGTTAGTAGTTGGGTGGGTGACCACCAGCGAATCCTCACTGTTGTATGTTTTTGTTCTTGCTTTTTGTTTCTATATTCTATTTTCCATTGCTTGTTACTGGATTTTGTTTCCTTGGTTCGTTTTAGCTGACTCATTCTAGGTACCTTGTCGCCGGTACCACTCTCTGGTCTGGACTCAGCTATGTCTTCTCTAACAACGCCGTGAAGATCCTCTCAAAAGAAGAAATCCAGAAGCGAATCGCGCAAGCAGCTGCTAAGCGTAAGTAGATCAAAAATAACTACCTAGGTAGACAGTGTTTTGAAGTTTTAATTGTATATTATTCCAATGTTGGAATCCAAGGTTCTTGCTACACGAGTCAGACCGTATCTTTCTACTTTTCTACCGGAGATTACGCATATGTGGCGTCCGACATGCATGTGATTTCTATGGCTTTCGACGAAATTTGAAACGAACTACATACATCCCTGCCCAAAAGTAGGTATAGCCTGCATGACATGTGATATAGCTTACATGCCAACGTGGAGGTACGTAGTTTGATAATAGCTTCAAATATTACCAGGGAGTCCTGGACACTAGTTAGGTGCAAATGTTAGCATTTAGGGAAAGGCTAATGATTTATATAAGATTTTACCGAGTGCGGATATATGTGGAGGATAAAAAAGAAAGGAAGAACGCAGTGGAACGGTGTAACAGCCGAGTGCTCGGCAATGTGAATTTAGGCCCGGAGTTTAGACAGAGATTTGGATGACCAAGATCCCTCTAGTCGGCATACGCTTTAGGGGTACGGTTTGGGCCGCCGAGTGGGGCAGTTAGATCTTAGGAATGTGGGCGAACTACGTATGTTTTAGATAGGCGGGTCGATAGAGCACGGCATTCGAGGCAGAATTAACATTCCTCTTTTGTTTATATATCGGTATTGGGGGCCTTATTTAGGGTTTGTCATTCTCAAGGATATTCGTAAGCAAGATTGTTAATCCATTTAATTCATTCTCATCCATTCCACAGGGTTAATTAACTAATTAACTACCTATAGGGTTCTATTTTACGTCAAAACAAAGAAAAAAAAGAAAAATAGAAAAGAAAAGAAAGAAAAAAGAGACGGAATATAAAGTCCGGCCCCACGTGCTTGCATAAGCCAGGCTTCAATTTGGTTCTGACACAGCGATAGGAATGGATATTCCGTTTGATGACACGTTGAAGAGCCAATCAGCACCCATTACCTCACCCTAAAGCCCGCTAAAGCCCGACGTAGGACTTATCTCCGTCCATTTGCTTTGAAACCGAAAAATTCTTTCTGACCTGATTCACCCTGAGTCATGTAGTGTCTACTCCACTATAGCTCGGGAGTCTCGACTTGGGCTCATTATCTCGCTTATGATTCGATGATTCGGTTTTACTTCTTCCAAGGGTCCCAATTTCCTTTTTAGCGACTGACAAATGTCGGGGTTAAGTGGTTACTCTGACATCTTCCAATGTAAAACGGTGTACATCCTTCTTTTGCGCTCCTCTGGAATCTTTTTTTTTTATAATTCTCTTCCTTTTATACTCCTGTTATTCCCTTTACATTTCTCTTTCTTTTAATTTCTAATCATATTCCCCCCTCCCCCATTCTCTAATTGGCCTGGCTATAACAATAATATCTTTGTATCTGCCATTGATTGTTACTGGAGAGTAGAACCCTCATCAAAGCCCCAAAATGGAGGGCCATTCCGAACAGTCGCATACCGTCTCGGACTCCCAGGCCCATGCCCAGTCCTCCAGGCAACAATCCAGCTCTACTGGTGAGACCTACCGCAATGATGTGGGCTCCGAACAGCCCACCACGGGGCAAGTCCACCACACCACAGCAGCTCCCATCGATTCAACTTTAACCGACAGCTCAACCGTCAGCTCGTCTGTAAGTGATGGCGATGGCCGCTGGGGAGAGCAGGAGGCCGGAAAGGCCGTCTCCCGTAGCGGTGCCATGGAGGACATGGAAGAGATGCGCCGCGAACTCACCCGCCTCAGTCTGAACCGCACCCGCTCTGTCACTAAGAGCGTTCGTCGCCGAAAGTCGCAGGCCCGCGATGAAGAAAAGGCTCAGGACGAAGAAACCGAGGACGAGGCTGACAGTTTCAATCTGGGTGAGTTCCTGACCGGTGGTCATCTGGAGCGTCGCACAACCGCCGGCGAACCCGCCAAGAAGGTCGGCGTCGTCTTCAAGAACCTTACCGTGAAAGGTGTCGAGACTGGCGCATCTTTCGTGCGCACTCTTCCTCAGGCTGTCATCGGTACCTTCGGCCCGGATTTGTATAACATCGTCTGTCGTTTCGTACCCCAGCTGCGGTTCGGCAAACACCCTCCTGTTCGCGATCTGATCCATGATTTCAGTGGTGCCGTGCGTGAAGGTGAGATGATGCTCGTGCTGGGCCGTCCCGGTGCTGGTTGTACTACCTTCCTCAAGGCAATTGCAAATGACCGTGGTGCTTTTGCTGGTGTCCACGGTGAGGTCAGTTATGGTGGTCTCTCCTCCGAGGACCAGAATAAGCACTTCCGTGGAGAGGTCAACTATAACCCGGAAGACGATCAGCATTTCCCCTCGCTCACTGTCTGGCAAACTCTCAAGTTCTCCCTGATCAACAAGACCCGCAAACAGGACCGGGAAAGCATCCCCATTATCATCGATGCCCTGCTGAAGATGTTCGGTATCACACACACCAGGAATACTCTCGTTGGTAACGAGTATGTTCGCGGTGTGTCTGGAGGTGAGCGCAAGCGTGTGAGTATCGCAGAGACCCTGGCCACCAAG